AATGCTGAGGACTCCAGCCTGAATGGCCCTGGGAAATACTCCTCTATTGCTTCATTAGGGCTTTCTCATCAAGAGCGAGTATAACAAAGTAGCCCCTTTACACAACATGAGAAAGTTCAAACATATTAAGTTGCATTATGCCTTCATGTAGTTTAAGTACCATTTGCCCCTGGAAGAAGTGAATTGGGATATTCATTTCCACATTCCAGGGGGAGCAGGTTGAATATAGATTGTGTTCAGTTTGGCTTCTTAAAAACTGAATATAACCATAACACTATCATTTCTGAAGTCTGGAGCAGAGAAAGCAATCTGTGGGTGGGGTGGGGGTGGGAAAGTTGCATCAGCCTCAGGACCAAAACCAGAGGTCAGATAGCAGCATAGATTCTACCCTGTCCTGCTGCACCATTGAGCAAAGTTTACTCTTTCATTCATTTATGAAAATACATGCTGGGTATTATCAGCATCCTGACAGCATCCAATTCCAAACCTAGAAATGATTTCTCCTAAGGGACTGAATAGCAGGGGGGAGTAAGACTGCACCAAGTGGAATGCCAGAGGACAAATCCCACACTGATGATAACATCTCCAAGGGCATCCCTTCGAGTCTGGTCCATAAGGAACAATTTCAGCCAATCCAAAGCACTGTACCTCCAGACACTTCAAGAAGATAATATGCTCTACAGTATCAAAAGCAGCAGATAAATCCAGTAGGAGCAATAAAAAAGCATGGCCTTTGTCTACATTCTGATGGAGATTGTAGCTCAGCCTGAAGCCAGACTGAAAAGTCCTAGAGCTCATGTGTTATCCAAGGAGACCTGAAGTTGGTTTGCCACTGCTCTCTCAATTACCTTGCCCAGAAAGTGCAGATTAGAGACTGGGTGATAATTGGTCACATAACTTTCTGTAGGGATGGCTTTTAGAGTAGTGGAAGGATGACCGCCTCTTTGAATGGTCAAGAGAAGGTGCCCTGAATCAGTGAAGGATTTCTGATAGACATCAACGACTCATTAATGAGGCCCTTGAATGATTTCAGCACAGATGGACAAGGATCCCAAGCATGTGGGAGCCTTCACAGATCCCAGGACCTCGTAACGGGGTCAGACTGGTCCACAAACAGAGCAGAAGATGTCTTAGATATTCCTTCTGTCTGATCTATGCTCCAACCAGTGTCCAAGTCAAAACGTGTTTGATCTTGTCAGCAAAAAAACTTTGTAAAAGCGTCACGACTGATTTCCGATTGCTGAGACTTTAAACAATTGACTGACTGATGAAATGAGAGCAGAGAATGATCCAGTCCGAAAGAGGGAAGAAGAAGACTATGACAACGCGGAGGACTCCAGTCTAAATTCTACATGTCTGCGTTAAAGTCCCTTCATTATTTTGCACTTCTGGGTTTTTGTTTTGTTTTTGTTTGTTGCAGATTGAGGGAATGTATACTTAGGACAGCAACAATGTGCTGAAGTGCTAGCATAACCAACAGGCTCTGAGGAATAGTTGTGTAAATGTCTTTACATAAATTTCACTATCTTCCCCCACCCCCCTGTATTTATATATAGAAAATGAAAATCAACTTTGGCCCTGGTCACATGGATTTGCCGTGGGAGAGGCACGAATGTCGGGCGGAGTATACGGGCGCAATCATAAGGACACATCTGGCAAGCGTAGCACACCCATCGCCGACTTGTAGCATCTGCCCGAAGATCCGGAGTTAAAAAATACCCGGGAAAGCCTACTAGCAAATGGTTTGCTATGGGCCGTCGGCAGAATACAACTATTACAACTGATCGCTCAAGCGCGCTCCTCTCGCCATGTTGACATGCACTGGAAACACCCCAATTTGCCGCCGCGGCGTCTGATCACATTCTGGCGCGTTAAATCATGCCGGCGTGAAAAGCCACACCTCCCCCCTGCGTTATCTGGCCCATGTGACCTGGGCCTTCAAATATCAAAAGCAGCAGTAGAGTACAACCAGAATCTGAAGACAGAAATCTTCCTTTTTTTTAAAAAAAAGTGTTTGCATATGTTCTAAATCTCTGTAACACTGGATACAGCTGGGCCTCCCTAGGCAGGCCATGCCTTTAAAATAAAAGGCAATGCCCTGCTTCAAGTCCAATTGAACATTTCTGTATCATGTAAGAACATGTCCTCCCTAGAAGAACTTCAAAGGTGGAGGAGATTCCAGTGCAGTTCCTTGACACAGCTTGGATACGAGCCATGTTCAATTTTAAAGTTAAATTCCAGAGTGTTAAGTTGGGTCTGGATGTGACCATTAACCAGTGATGTTCTCTCATCCTATTGGCACATTAAGAGGCAAGCTGCTGTATTCTGCAACACAGAATATACTAAATGCTTAATATTGATCACATTTAGAAGAAACAAAACCATGGATGATGATTGCCAGATTCCATTCCTCAGGATAAGTTTGTAGCCTTCAGAACAGATGAAGCTTCTCTCTACCCCCCCTCGAATCAACTCTGATATAAATTATATAGAATCCCCACTGACCAGTACAGCAGACAGGATGTGGGAAAGATTCTATTGAGGAAGGAAAGCCTGGAACCATGCAACCATCTGATTTGAATTTGTCTTGTGTTCTGTAAATACTTATTGCTTGTATGTATTCCTTTAAGATTTTCTACAGCTGGTTGCAATTTTGGGAGTTCTGGGATGCTTTTAAGCTAGCCAACATGGGCTGATGATCACAGCCCGATTCCTAGCTATTTAAGATATACTTATAGACTTCATGTCATTTTGAATCTTACCAGAGCTGGGTGGGGTAAGTCCTAGAAGTCCATCAATCTGCTTCCTCTATTAGTATAGAATGCATTCTACAGCAAGTTCAATGTTTGCAGCTCCATCACTAAGAAAAGTGGCCTGATGAAGCCCTAAGAAATAGTAAAGCAATCTAGGCGTGGCGTCGCCACTCCTTTGGTTCATGCTAGAGCTAGTCTTGAGCCCACGCTGTCTACTCCGTGTTTTCTTTTGGAAACTCTTCTCTGCATCATGAGCCAGTGACTGCATCATTCTAAAGAGAGACTTGTACTTTCAAGGACTATTCAGTCACTATTCAACAGGTGCAGATGTCATTTATGCATGGTGGCAAAAGCATTTCTAATGTGCATAATTTATGGTTGTACGTTTAAGAAGACAGAAGTCTCCATTGTGATTTGTACAGCGTGACAGATTATTCAGGATACAATAATAAGCTTATGGGAGGCAGAATAAGCAGATACAGTTCTGATCCTGCTCCCATATATCTCTGTTGCATCCCAGTGGGTCACAAGCCCCTGGGGTGCAAAATAAAAATGTCCCATTTGGTGGCTTTCAGAACACTGCCTCTCTGATCTCCCCCCCTTCTCCTGACAGGAAATTTCCAAGTTGTAGTCCGGTGGCTTGGCAATGGAGATACTTATTGCATCTCAGTCGATTGAAATGCAGGCCCATGGGGTCCGGCACAGAAATCTCCCATCTGGGGTGGGGGTGGGGGGCAGAGAGGCAGTGTTCTGATGCCCTTCTCTCCAGGATGGGAGAATCCTCAGGAAACAGCAGAGGATTTAGGGGTGTGTAAAATGATGTGGCATAATGCACCTAACTTCTGGTAGCCCCAGTGTTCATTTAAATTCTGCATGCGCACGTTATCGAGGGCTACATTCCCATATATAGGGTAGCCAGATGCATGGACATGCATGGCCAGTACTTTATTGATTATACTCAAATAGCCACGACCACGATGCTCTGGGAGGGTATAGCCATGTGCCAGTGCACCAAAAGGATCAAGGAGACTCCAGCTGATCAGGCGTCCATTGCTGTCCAGGATGCAGCTGCTGGGGAAGGAGTGCACCAAAGTGGCCAGGTACCCACGACTGTGTTCACAGCCCCCGTAGGCCCACGTTTCATTCAGCAGGTCAACATGGGAGCTATTCAAAGTGGAGAACTTCAGGCTGGGATCTAGCCTGGAAGAAAAAAGAGGCAAAACATATATACTATTAATGCAATGGGAGGAGAGTTAAATATCATAATGTGTACTTGTGGATCAGACTAAAAGTCCATTTAGTCTAGCCCAGTCTGTTACACCTCGGAAGCTCACAAACAGGGCATGGTGGTGAAGACCATCCTCTGTCCCTTTCCTCCGACATCCGGTAATTAGAGATATTCTGCATGTGCTTGTGAACATTCCATTCTTAGTTCTTAAGGGGTTGAGGGGAAAAAAAATATTATATCTAATAATAAACGGATGGGCCCCCTGGGTGGATGATGAAAACAAAAAAACAACAACATAGGAGCTACTGTGAATGTTGTGGTGTTCCCTGTCTTAAACTGAAAGCCCTGCATCCCAGGAAAACATTCTTACATTTTGACTTCTGCCTTGAATCCTACTGTAAACCCCGTATTGGGTTGGATTAATGCTTTTATCCAAAGAAGAATATTTAGAAAAAAGGAGAATAAGAAATCTGGAGACCTCTTTATCAACATGGCTTTATTTGAATAAATTCACAAACTCTACCCTTCATTTTCTCCTTTGAGTCTAGTCTTCCTTTTGTGTATCCTCTTGGACCTCTTACATGGACTTATACTGGGTGGACACTATACTGTTTGAGCTGTTTCCTGTTTATTGTTTATGTATTTAGACTTTTAATGCTTACTGTTTTTTTATTAAAATTTTATTGATAAACAACAGATTTACAAGAAAAATTTGTACACATAAACTGATAAACAATCGTGCTATACAACATTAAGTACACAATTATATCCAGAAGTAGTTCTAAGTTTTGCTGCAAGGCTTCAAAAAGACTAAATATCCATACATATTAACCAACAATAAAATTACGTAACGCTATTGTGTCAGTTATAGTAAGTTTTGCGAAGTCTGAGTGTTTCCAGAAAAATTTTACAAAAGGAGTCCATTTTTTCTCGAAGGTCTGTCTGCGCTGGAGTGCATTTGCATAGTCCACTTCCACTGTTATTTTGTCAAAAACAAAAAAATCCCAGGACTTGTGCAGCCATTCGGAAATAGAGGGAACAACTGTCGACTTCCATTTTGCTGCAATAAGTGTCTTAGCCGCCGTGAATAAAATGGCTGCAAGCTTTCGTTCATGTGGAGATATTTTGATCTGGGATAAATCCCAGATATTGAAAAGAACTATTTTCAAAGAGTGAGGAATTTTATTTTTAATTATTGAGTTAATCATCTTAATAATCTGTAACCAGAATTTAGATATAATTGGACAAGTCCACCAAGTATGCAAATAGTCGCCTTTAAGCCTGCACCCTTTCCAACAAGTAGGGGCACAGGAGGAAGTAACATGTGATAGTTGGAGAGGGGTTTTATACCACCTAGTCACTAATTTTATGGTTGTAAGCTTAATGTTTAGGCAAGGTGAAGTATAAACCGAGGAATTCCAAATTTTTCCCCATTCTGCGTTGTCAAGTGTTTGCCCTAAGTCTTTATGCCATGCCATCTGGTATTTTAAAGGGCTTGGATTTTTAATGTTAAGTAAAATTGAATATATTCTAGAGATGAGACCTTTAATGGAAGGAGAGGGAGTGTTCAATAACTTTTCAAATTCTGTTAGCTTTAAACGTAGTTTATCACCCATTTTTGAATTGATTAGGTCATTCAATTGGAGGTATTCGAACCAAGGTAAGACCATAGAATAAGTTTTCCAATGATAATTTAGGTTTGAGATAGCCCTGTGAGGTAACGTCGATAAATCTGGTGAGACGCAGTTGACGCCATGACTTAAAAGAAGAAGGATCAAAAGCTGGTTTGAACCATGGCTGTCCTGTGAAGTTTGTTAACGGGGAGATAGATGGTGTTAGAAGGTGGCTAAATTTATTCCAGGATGTCAGAGTGTTTTTGATGAAGATGCTAGGAGAAGTAATATGTTTTATTTGAGATTTGTAGTTCCATAACGTTTCTCGGAAAGAGCGGGAGGGGAGTGTTGATTCTTCTATTATTTTCCAATCACCCCTATATGAGGGTCGATAATGTTTGATCAAGTTAACTAAGATAATAGAATCATAATATGCTTGTAGCTTGGGAATAGCCAGGCCTCCTTCTCTGTAAGGTTTAATAGCAGTTGCAAAATTTAATCTTGGCTTTTTATAGCTCCATATAAAAGAGTTAATATCTTTTTGCCATTTTTTAATAAGTGACATGGGTATAGCCAATGGAAGAGCTCTGAGATAAAATATAAATTTAGGCAATATCATTGTTTTAACCAACTTAATGCGTTCTAACAAAGTAAAATGAAGGGTGTTCCATTTTTTAAGAAGGATATTAATGTGCGATGATATACTCATATGGTTTTGTTGCATAAGATCTTTAAGATCTAAAGGAATTTGGATGCCGAGGTATTTAAATGACGAGGTTACCCATTTATAGTTAAATTGCGACTTAAGATAAGCTTTGGTTTCAGAACAAAGTTGAATAGGATACAGAAGTGATTTGGTTTCATTAATGCGAAGGCCTGAAATTTGGCCGAAGTTCGTCAAATGTTGATTAATATTAGGTAAAGATTCTGCAGGGTTTGAAACAAACAATATCATGTCGTCTGCATAGAGACTGACTTTTGTCGAATATTTATTTACAGAAATTCCATGCACTAGAGGATCGTTCCTTATGAGGTGGGCTAACGGCTCGACTGCCAAAGCGAACAGGAGTGGGGACAATGGACATCCCTGTCTTGTGCCACGGGACATTGGTTGTATTGAGGTGTTTTGGTTGTTGATTCTCAATAAAAATTTAGAAGAGCTATATATAGATTGTATGGCGTGTATTATTTTCGTTCCAAAATTCATATGGCTAAGTAACGGAAAAATATAGCTGTGTTCTACGGAATCGAATGCTTTTTCAAAGTTGATTGAAAATAAACAAGAGTCCACCAGAGGAAAAAGATTAGAGTGTGAGATGATGTTTATCGCTTTCCGAACTGAATCTAAGTCCCGCTGCGGGATGAAACCTGTTTGATCTATTGAAACATAATCTCCTATGATTTGATTTAACCTGTGTGTGATGATATTTGTGAACAATTTATAATCGTTGTTGAGTAGTGAAATCGGTCGGTATGATCGTGGGTCTTCTGGGTCTTTATCACTTTTATGAATTAGAACAACTTTAGCAATCTCCCATGACTGGGGGATTGGGCCATCGTCTAGTATGGAGTTAAACAGATCTAAAAGAGTTGGGATAAGCTCTGTTTGAAATTGTTTATAATATTCAGAGGTATAACCATCCGTCCCGGGCGCTTTATTTAGTTTCAATTTGCTAATGGCCAATTTTAGTTCCAAATCATCAATAGGGTGATTTAAAAATTTTTGGTGTGACTCAGACAGTACCTTAATTGATTTATTAGACTTCAAAAAAGAGTCAATTAAGTGTTGGTGAGGGAGGCTTGAAGTATATAGATGTGTATAAAAAGTCTGAAATATAGATAAGATTTTCTGAGAAGAAGTTTGCAAAACATTTTTATCGTCCCTTATACCGATAATATTAGTTTCTGCTTTCCGTTTCCTAACTTTCCAAGCGAGCAGACGTAATGACTTTGGGTTGTTGGCCCAGTAGGATTGTTTTACATAAAGAATGTTTTTTGCGATTTTGTCAGCTTCTAGAGCTTGGAGTTTTTTCCTTTTCAGTTCAAGTTTGTGGTAGATTTCAGGATTGCAAGAATTTTTGTGTTCCAATTCCAGAGTTTTGATATCCGTTAAAAAATTTTGTTTAGTTTCCTTAAGGTTTTTTTTATGTGCCGCCGTTATTGATATGATTTTCCCCCTCAGAACCGCCTTATATGCGTCCCAAATCATGTGAATCGGGGAGTCTTTTGTGGAATTAAGTGCAAAAAATTCCTTTGTGTCAGTGATGATTTGGTTTTGAATGTCAGGATTCTTTAATAGAGAGTTGTCCAGTCTCCATGTGAAACTTCTATCCAAACTAGCATTGAAAGAAAAATAGCTCACTATGGCAGCATGGTCCGACCAATACATTGGGTCGATGTCCACTGAGACAAGATTGTTAGCAAGATCTTTGGAAATTAATATGTAATCGATCCTAGAATAGGATTGGAACCTTGTGGAAAAAAAGGTAAAATTCCGCTCTCCGTCATGCAAGAATCTCCACGTATCTATTAGACCATATTTGCAAAAAATATTATAAAGGGCTGTATGGCCTTTTAAATTAGTCTGTCTCTGACTAGTTTTATAAAAGGGACTTTTCCTGTCCAACATTGGATGAACAACTGCATTGAGGTCAGATCCTATAATGAGTGGCCCTTCTTGGAAATCTTTAATTTTTTCCAGAGTTTCTCTTATAAAGGTAATTTGCCCTGAATTTGGAGCATATAACACCGCCAAGGTGACTTTGTTTTCATTTAAGATACCTTTTAAAATTAAAAATCTACCCTGTGGGTCTTGAATTTCGTCTAAGAGGGAGAACTTGTTATATTTAGAAATTAATACAATAACTCCTCGAGCCTTAGATGATCCTGGGGCAGCATACCATTGCGGAAAATGGGGCGTCTTAAAGAGCAGGTTCTCTTGATTTTTTAGGTGGCTTTCAATCAAAAAAGCTATGTCTGTTTTATGTGATTTCAGATAATTATATATTCTCCTTGCCTTAATGGCATTATTAACTCCCCTACAATTAAGCGATACTGCTGTAATATCTTTAGCCATGATAAAGCTTTACAGGATTATGAATATAACCGGCGATAAAAAAACATATTTGGTAAGTGCTGGTATATGAAAGACCTTTACTTTGTAACAGTAAAGCCGGTGTAAAAGTATTCCACTGATCCGTGAAGGTTAATAAACTTAGCCTGGAACTATCACCAAGAGAGGTCTCTGTGGCTATTAACTGGTTGGAATTGGCAAAACACATAATGACCACTTTCAGACTTAAAATTAAACTTAGGTAATACAGTTTTTGCAAACTCTCAATCATTTGTAAGTGTACTAA